GAGCAGTGATCTGTAAGGGGCTGCAAACTGCGCCCCTCAAACCCCAGACCTGTATTTAATGAGACGGGTAGAAGCAACACCCCTACCACCTGTCATTGGGCGTGCCCGCCCAATTGGATCTCGAGCCCGGCCAATTGGGAGGCAGGAGGTAGGAGTGTGGCTTCAGGAGGGATAGGGCGTTCCTGGGGCGTGGCTTTCACCGGGTGGGGCGTGGTTTCGGCGCAGGGCGTGGTCTCGGCGCAGGGCGTGGCTTGCCCGGAGTGGGTGTGTCCAGGGGTGGGTCGTTGTCCGCTCCGGGCGGGCCGCGGCGGTCGGGCTCAGTTCAACTTCCCGCCGACTATGGAGTGGTTAAAGCTGCCCCCCGGCGGCGCGGCGGCGGTGGATGAATACCTGGAGTACCGGAGGTGAGGCAGCGGCCGCGGCTCCGTGGAGGCGAGCCAGCCCCCGGCGGGGAGATGTTAGGGGGCGCGGGCAAGGACCTGGCGGGCGAGCGCTGGGGCTCTGGGAGTCGGTTCGCAGGCTGAGAGGCCTGAACTGACTTGGAGTTTCATCGTTTTGTAATCTGCACACTCAGTGCTGTTTGGAGGTCTCCCCTTCTGAAAGGAAGGTTTATGCCAGGTCCAATTCCCTCTCTCCCTCTCCCTTTCTCTCTCCCCCTTCCTTTCTTTCTTTCTTTCTTCCTTCCTTCCTTCCTTCCTTCCTTTCTTTCTTCCTTCCTTCCTTCCCTCCTTCCCTTCTCTTCTCTTCTCTCTCTTCTCTTCTCTTCTCTTTTTTTCTCTCCTCTCCCTCTCCCTCTCCTTCTCCCTCTCCCTCTCCTCTCTTTCCTTTTTTCTTTTCTGTTCTGTTTCTTTCGTGTATGCTGGTCTTGGGGCTGGAAATCAGGGCCAGGCTATCGTCCTTTAGCTTTGCTACTCCAGTCTGGAGCTTACCATTTCAGCCACAGCTCAACCTCCAGCTTTTTGGTAGTTAATTGGAAATGAATCTCATAGACTTTCGCGTCTGAGCTTGGAGTCTGTGATCCGCTGATCTCAGGCTCCAGGCTCCAGTTGCCCACCCCTCACCTCCCATCCCCACCGCTTTCCATTTAGGGCTATTGAAGAACGACACCGAGATTGCTCTAGTCCTATAGATTTTTATTTATTTATTTATTGTTGGTCATGGGGCCTGAACTCTGGGCCTGGGTGCTGTCCCTCAGCTCTTCAGCTCAAGGCTAGCGCTCTACCACGTGAGCCACAGTGCCACTCCTGGCTTTTTCTGCTTATGTGATGCTGAGGAATCAAACCCAGGGTCTCACGCAAGCAAGGCAAGCACTCTACCATGGAGGCACCTTCCCAGCCCTAGTCTTATAGAATTTAAATAACATGAATATGCGTGGTAGTTTGGTAATAGTGTAAGTCTGGAACTGCGAAGGTCCTGGCGCAATTTGGAACATTTTTGGAGGGATTCCCTTCCCAAATAGGAAACAGCCACTTGTTTGGCATAAGATTACTAGTCATTGTTCAGGCCCTGGCAAAGCTGATGCATCTGTGTAGAAGTGTTGGGTTCTTGTTTTTTTTTTTTTTGTCATTTGTTTTTGTTTAACCTCCAACTCCTAAGAAGTGTTGATAGTAAGGAAACCTGGGGGCACGGGGTAGGAGCACCAGGGGAAGGTTGGCAGGATGGTATAGAGTTGAGATTAGGGTATTGTGAGACCATCCTGCTATGGACTGGAAGACCCTGAACAGAGAGCTACTGGACTTAAAATGGTAGCCACAAACCATTCAGGGGTGTCCAGGCAGATGAGTTTCCTGGCTCATTACCCATTACTGCAATTAGGGGCAATATGTAGAACTTGAAAATACTGAAAAGCTTTATGGATTAGTCCCCAAGCACAGTTCAGGTCTATCAAGGTAAGGCTGGGAATCCTGGGTCCTAATAACTGTCACCCAGTTCAGTGTGTGTGTGTGTGTGTGTGTGTGTGTGTGTGTGTGTGTGGTTGTGCATGTGTGCGTGTAGTAATCTTGATGCTTCAACTCAGGGCCTTAGTACTGTCCCTGAGCTTTTGAGCTTAACTCTAAGACTAATCCTCTACCATTTGAGTCACATCTCTACTTCTGGCTTTTTGGAGCTTAATAGGAGATGAGAGTCTCAAGAACTTTCTTGCGCAGACTTCAAACTGTGATCCTCAGGTGTCATCCTTCTGAGTAGGTAGATAGGATTATAGGCATGAGCCACAAGTGCCTGGCCTGACATCCAGCCCTTATCCACAGCAGTACTGGTACCTTTAGACTTGGGTTCTCTCAGACTTTTTTTGTGTGTGTGAGAGCAAGTCTCTGGGCCTTGGTGCTGACTGAAAATATTTAGGTATGTGTTCTCGCTTGCCCAGAAAATACTAGGGGCAGACACCCAGGAAATTGTTTTTTTACAAACATAAATAACATGGAACACTTCCTTTTGAAAGAGAATTATCACAAAGTAAGAACAAATAAAAGATTATCACCATCTTGACTCATATGACATTTGAGAAAGGTGGGGAAAAGCAGACTTGTATGCCTAGAAAGGTGGTGGGTACAAAGGGCCCAAAAGATCAGTCTCCATCAGAGATTCTTCCTTACTTTCCCTTAATTTGGTCTGCCTAAGAGCTTTAGAGACTATTGAGAGGAGAAGTATAAATTCTTGTTACATAACTGTAGGAAGCTTGGGCCAGTAACAAAGGCAGCACCTGGGAGCTTATTAGAAAAGCAAGATCACATGCCCCTTTAATCTGGCTTTCATTTAAACATTATCCTCATGAGATTCTGGAAATCCAATACACTTTGAATTACACTGGTTTAGAACTTAAGTATCAATGATCTCTTACTCAGAAGACCTGCATTTATCTAAAGATCTGTCTAGTACTAATAGTTGTTGGTCTTGTCCTTCCTTCCCTCCCTCCCTCCCTCCCTCCCTCCCTCCCTCCCTCCCTTTCTTCCTTCCTTCCTTCCTTCCTTCTTCCTTCTTTCTCTTCTAGCTATCTTTTTTTTCTTTCTCTCATCCTCCACTTCTTGATGACCCTGGTGTTTGAACTCAGGGCCTCATGATCACATGCTTTCTGGGCTTGCTACTGGGGTGGTGCTTTACGAGTTGAGCTATGCCCCAGCATAGCTTTTTGCTGGTTATTTTGGCGGTAGACTTTTTCTTTTCCTGGCTGGTATTGAATTGAACTCATACAGATCTCAGCCTACTGAGTAGCTAGAATTACAGGTATGAACCACCAGCACTTGGCTAAAACCACACTTTTAATGATGACTAAAGGGAGGGAATTTTCAGGTAGAAATTTCTTCCATTTTGAACTTTCTAGTTGGTCTTATCCATCAAAGAGTGACCCTCCTAATTTTTTTCATAGCAATAGTGGGGACTTAATTTCTCAGTAAAAGTTTGGGTTCTGAAATTAATAAGACACATGATAACTCAGTACAGAGATGTCAGATGTCAGCTGGAACATGGTTAAAAACCCACATTAGTTGAAGTACCTGGTAGAATTTGGGATCAGTTACGTTGGTTTCTACCTTATACATTAAAAAATTATATATACTTTTATTGTTATTGTTAAGGTGTTGTACAGAGGGATTATTATTTCATAAGTCAACTAATGAGTACATTCCTTGTTTTGGACAATGTCACCTTTCCTTTGCTTTCTTCCAGGTTTCCCCTCCCATTATTGTAGCTTTGTTTTAAGGAGGGGGAATTGCTAGTTTTAAAGAACGAATATTTTTTCAGCCCAGTCTATCCTGAAACTTGGTAAGAGGGTCCAGAACTCATTATTCTCTGCTTCAGCTTCCTGAGTGCTGAAATTTACAGGTGTGTGCCACCATGTCCAACTTAGGCTCTGACTTTTTTTTTGCAGGTGTCTGAATTTGAACTCAGAGCTTTGCCCTCACTCTGCTTGCCTGCTCACCTCCAGCCCAACATTATGCTGCTTATTTTGGCAATGGAGTCCCCTGGGCTTTTCTGCCTAAGCTAGCTTCCAACCTTGATCTTCTGTATCTCAGCTTCATAAATAGCTAGGATTACGAGCATGAGCCACCAGTGGCCTGGCTAGGCTCTGGCTTTTAATAAGAATGAATATGTTTGCTTCAAAATCACAGGAAAAACTGAGATTAATATAGTCCTTGATAATTGATAATCCTTGATCAGTAAAGCCAGATATTTCCAAAGTATTGACTTTTTTTTTTTTTGGTCCAGTCGTGGGACCTGAACTCTGGGCTTTGGGCGCTGTCCCTCAGCTCTTCAGCTTAAGTATAATGCTCTACCACTTGAGCCACAGCGCCACTTCTGGCATTTTTTTTCTGCTTATGTGGTGCTGAGGAATCGAACCTAGGGCCTCAAGCACGCAAGACAAGCGCTCTACCACTGAGCCACCTACCCAGCCCTAGTATTGACTTTTATAATGCTCTGTTATACAGGAAGAGTAGGAGAGAAAATATTTCTTTTTTTTTTTTTTTTTTGGGTCCAGTCGTGGGGCCTGAACTCTGGGCCTGGGTGCTGTCCCTCAGCTCTTCAGCTCAAGGCTAGCACTCTACCACTTGAGCCACAGCACCACTTCCGGCTTTTTTCTTTTTGCTTATGTGGTGCTGAGGAATCAAACCCAGGGCCTCAGGCATGCAAGGCAAGCGCTCTACCATTGAGCCACCTTCCCAGCCCGAGAAAATATTTCTTACAACTATCTTGATTGTGGTTTGATCATGGCAGAGGCACCTATAATAAAAGAGATTATAAGACATGAGTTTACAAATTTAAGTCTTATATGGACTGGAGTCTCTGAAAACAAAGATCTAGAGAAACAGCACACTTATGCTAAGATTTGATGTAGACAATCCCGGAGAAATACGATTGAAGGACAAAAGGTATGTTCTACTGGCCACAAAAGGGGGACTTAGTGAGGCCTGTTAGTTCAGATTCTTCTCTGTGTCTCTGTCTTTAGAGATCACCTTGTTCCTTTCCTCCAGGTAAAGGGAGGACACCTCTGGAATGAAGATTGTTTGGCCTCCTTCAGGGAAGAGGAATGTGGGGAGTGTGAGAGTGGCCTTTCTTCCTTTGCCTGCCGAATTTGGGATAGCAGGTCCTGAATTCCATCAGATGCAGAAGTTTTATTGTGTGTAATTTGGTTATTAACATATGTCTAAAGTAAAAGTTCCAAGTCCAAGCAGTTATTCCTTTGGGGATACAAAGATGGTTTAGAGTTTAGTGAGTGTAAGGTATATTAAATAGGTAGGTTTCATTAGGTAGCTGATGAAGAGAACACCATGTGCTATTCAGGCAGGAGAAAAAGTTTATTTACCGAACTGCTGCCCCCGCCCTGCATGGTGGAGAGGCATGGCTGAAAAGGAAAAGGGGCGACCTACCTCTGGGCCAGGACTTATCTAGGCCAGGGACAGGAAGAGGTGTGGCCAGGTGGGGGAAAGGTGTGGCCACACTGGATCTGGACATGACCTCAGGTTCTGGGACCCTCCTAAGGTCAGTGGGAGGCATGTGACCAGAGGTGGCCCAGGATGTGACCTAGCAGGAGGGGAAGGTGACTGCTTCCAGGTCTTCCAGTTACCCTGGGCAGAAACTTAGCCAAGAGGTGGGGAGGTATCCCTGTGCAGACCTTACAGTGAGTATTTATTTATTTTGATAGCACCAGGACTTGAACTCAGGGTCTTTTGCTTGCTGGGCTTACTTGTATTTGGCTGGCACTCTATCATTTGCTGCTAGTTAACTAGAGGTGGAGTATTTTGGATTACAATTCCCCCCCCCCCCCATGCTGCCTTTAAATAGCAATCCTGCAGGTTTCAGAATGGTAAATAGCTAGGATTATAGGAATTTTGAGCCCTGGCATCCTGCTTCCCCTCCTCCAGGAAGTACTGGGGTTTGAATTTAGGATTTCACACTTGCTAGACAGCTACTCTACTGCTTGAGCCATGCATCTAGTCCTAGAATTTTTAGCATTCTCAATCTGGAAATACTCAATGCTTAAGACAAAATATTTTTTTCTTATAGAATTGTTGGTGAGGATGATGGAGGGAAGCTGTTTACTCCAGAAGAATATGAAGAATACAAAAGAAAAGTTTTACCAATGCGATTGCAGAACAGATTATTTGTGAGCTGGCAATCACCAACAGGAATGGATTGTAGACTAATTGGCCCAGAAACACGATGCTTTTGTACACATAGGTAAGATACTTTATTGATGTTTTCTGTTGACTCAAAAATAAAAATGATGGCAAACATATCCTCCTTCTGTAAACAAGACTGATTGATGATTAAGAAATATTTAGGCTGGGTGCTGGTAGAGCATGCCTGTAATCCTAGCTACTCAGGAGGCTGAGATCCGAGGACTGCAGTTTGATGCCATCCTAGGCAGGAAAGTCTGTGAGACTTTTATATTAAGCAACAAGAAAGCCAGAAGTAGAGCTGTGGCCCAAAATGGTAGAGTGCTATCCTTGAGTACAAAAGTTCAGAGACAGTGCCCAGGCCTGAATTCAAGGTCTAGGACCAGCACCAAAAACAATAAAACAATAACAACAACAACAACAAAAAACCACATTTAAAATCAGGCATTTATAGAATACAGTAGAAAATCTAAATGTAATTAACAATTATCTGGTTTGAACATATCACAGAGTATGTTACCTTAAGCAGCACTCCTTAGCATTGGCATAAAAGATATTGGTGCCCCCTGTAACTTTACCAGGGGTCTTTCAGTTTGGCTGGGGAGCTGTCTCTACCTGGTTTACCATGACCAAGGAAGAGGGTGGATGGTCACAGTGCAGAGCCACTTTAATTAATTCATTAACGAATTTATAAATTATTGTGCTGATATTGAGGCTTGCACTGGAGCTGGGGTGCTGTCCTTTACCTTTTATGCTCAAGGCTGGTGCTATACAGCTGCACTTCCAGCTTTTTGAGGGTTAGTTGGAGATAAGAGTCTCACAAACTTTCCTGATTTTGAACTTTGATTCTCAGATCTCAGCTCCTAAGTAGCTAGGATCACAGTCAGGAGTCACTGGTATCCAACCAGAACCACTTAGTTACTTGAATTGATGCACATATACAGACAGATTTTTCCTCAAGTGTACTAATCATCCTTCATTTCTTATCACTTCTGTGTTAATACCTTTCTTCTCTTCCTTCCTTTTCCTTCTTTTTCTTTCTTTCTTCCTGGCTTCCTTTCTTTGTTTCCTTCTCTCTCCCTTCCTTCCCTTCCTCCTTCCATCCCTCCCTTTTTTTCTTCCTTCCTTCCTTCCTTCTCTCCGTCCCTCCCTCCCTCTCTCTCTCCTCTCCTTTTCTTTCTTTTCTTTCTTTCTTTTTTGTTAGTAGTGGGTCTTGAACTCAAGGGCCTGGGCACTGTCTCTGAGCTCTTTTGCTTAAAGTTAGCTCTCTACCACTTTATGCCAGAGCTCCATTTTTTTTTCTTTCTTTTTTTGGATAAGGTCTTACTCTGTAGCCCAGGTTGACCTAGAACTTGTGTTCCTTCCACCTTAACTTCCCACATGCTGGGGTTATAATCATATACAACTATGCCTGACCTGACACTTCTTTAAACTAAAAGTATAAGCACACTATTTTTTTATTACAAATGGTCATATTGTAAGAAACTCATATAGGAGAAAGACATGAAGCTCCAGTGATTATGTATTTTGTCTGTACCCAAGGTTCACATCTTGCTCTGTGTGTTGTACTTTAAATTTTACTTGTGTCTCCCAGTTGTAAAGAATGGAAAAATTGCTCAACCTAGGAGATGTTTTTAGGTAACAACGCTCACCTTTTGTTCTAAGGAAACCATTGAAGGAGAACCACAATGTTCCCACAGCAATTTCTGGGCTCTTTCATGAGAGACTCTTTGTATAGTTGCTATTGACAGAGCTGTAGTTTGCCAGAGTTTGTTAGGCAGTTGCTAAGATGAGTAATGTTTATATAGGTTGACAATAAACTTAACTAGCAAGCTCAACTAAAAAGACTGGAGCAATGGAGGATGAGGGACATGTTGATTGATATCTGTCAGAACTAAAACAGGTTTTGGTGAATTTATGACTGTTTTAAAATGTATTCTTATAAAATTTTAATACCAGTTTCTTATCTATGTATAATTCGCACAGCCTGGAATTGACTTTCAAAAGCCCATCCCAACCAAGCCAGGTTCTGGTGGCTCATGCCTATTACGTATAATTTTGTGTGTGTATGAGTGTATGTGTGCTGGTACTAGGACTTGAACTCAGAGCCTGAGCACTGTCCCTGAGCTTTTTTGCTCAAGGCTAGCATACTACTTCTTGAGCCACAGCACCACGTCTGGCTGTTAATTAGAAATAAGAGTCTTCTCAACTTTCCTGCCCAGGCTGGCTTCAAATTTTGATCCTCCTATCTTAGCCTCCTGAGTAAGTAGGATTGTAAGTGTGAGCTGTGGTGCCTGGTCCTCCCCTCTTTCTTTTGTGTTGGTCCTAGGGGTTGAAGTCAAAGCCTGGTTCTGCCCCTTAGCTTTGTCTGCTCAAAGCTGATGTTCTGTGGCTTGAGCCATAGTTCTACTTCCGGCTTATTCTTTTTTGGTGGTTAAAGACAAATGTTTTATGAACTTTACTCCTCTGCTGACTTCAAACTGCAATCCTCAGATCTTAGCCTGTTGAGTAGCTAGGATTCCAGGCCTGAGCCACCAGAAAGAGATTAAACAAAACACTGCATACAGGGCAGTTTATTTTGATTTTATAAGCAATTCTTAGCAAAACAACAAAAAGCAAAAATAAAAAGTCATTGTTATTCAATAGAATAGAAAAGGCAAGTATTTGCAATGTCTGCATTTTGTTTGTATTTCTTTCTTTTTACAATTCAGGTATAAACAACATAAAACTGACTTTGAAATGGTTCCGCCGCAGCGCCCCATTCTTCTGCCCTGCAGGGTGACCGGCTGCCCATGCAGGGCTTATCTCTATGTTCCCTTGTGTGGTGCTCAGCTCATTCGCTGCAGGTGTAAACACTTTGCTGATCAGCACAGTGCTGTGCCTAACTTTGGGTGCAATAAATGTAAGTTATATTTTATACCTAGACACAGAGTGTTTCAATTCCTTTATTGAATACTTACTATGTTTTGTTATTAGTTTATTGATCTATAGAGTCAATATTCAATGACAATGCAAAATTCAATGGATACTGTTTTTCTTACTTGATATAATCATAAGTTCAGTATCATAAAACTTAAATAATTGAAGTAATAGTAATAGTTTTTTAAATTTTTTCTTTTCTTTTCTTGCCAGTCTGGGGTTTGAACTCAGGCCTGGGTACTGTCCCTGTTTAAGACTAACACTTTACCACTTGAGCCACAATTCCACTTCCAGCTTTTTGTGGTTAATTAGAGATAAGAGTCTCACAGACTTTCCAGCCCAGGCTGGCTTTGGTAACTAGCAGAAGTAAGAGTCTCAAGGACTTCTTACTCAGGCTGGCTTTGAACTGTGGTCCTCAGATCGCAGCATTCAGAGTAGCTAGGATCACTGGCTCCTGACTAGAATACGGCTTTTATGAAGAGTTCATCTGTAGCAAAGTTTCTACATTTTCTTTACCTGCTCCTGGCTACTCGACTGTCCATATCATACACATCTAGTTTTAACTCAGTTTTTGAGCTCTTCAGAGGACACTTCTTGGCACTCCAGTGTTTAACTAAATTTCTATTAGTTCCACTTGGGTTTTTAATTTTTTTTCTTTCATGTACTTTCCTGCCATTTGTGCATCTTTCAGAAGTATGAGCAGTGGCTAGGAGAGAGATCAGGGACTGGAAGTACCAGATCAGAACTAGAGAACCAAGATTGAACTGACTTTTGCTGAGCTAAGTGACTTTGAGTAAACAGATTAGTATCTATACTTAAAAGCATTTAAGCCCCTGCACATCTTGATTTAGGTACCAAGTGTTCAGAGTTCCATAGCTGCTTCACTTGTGCATGTGGTCAGCCTGCATATACCCATAACACGGTGGTGGAAACCATGCAAGAAAGATTGGCTCAGGGAAAACCAGTGGGACAGGATGTGCCTTATGCAGCCATGGGAGGATTAACTGGTTTCAGCTCACTGATGGAAGGCTACATGCGCTTGGATAACAGTGGTATTGGTAAGTGATGATATATAAAATGTGAGCTTGTCAGTTTGTGTGTGTGTGTGTGTGTGTGTGTGTACTGGGGGTTGAACTCAGAGGTCTCATACTCTTGCTTAGCTTGCTTGTTCACTACTGGTGTTTTACCACTTGAACCATGCCTCCATAGAGCATTTTGCTGGTTAGAGATGGTAATTTTGAAGTTTTTTTTGAACTTTGATCCTCAAGATCTCAGCTTCAGGCATGAGCCACTGGTGCCTAGCACGAGACAGTATCTTACCATGTAGTCCAAGCTGGTCTGCCCTTAAATTGTTAATTCTCCTGCCTGCCTCCTAAGTGCTGGGGTTACAAGTGTGTAATTCCATACCCAATCTACCATATGGTTACTGTGTGCTCACAGTAGTAGGGCCTTATATTTAATGGTTTTTAGCCATTATATTGTTCAGAAAATATTTCTTTATGTCATGAGGCTTGGGTGCTGTGGGCCTGGGTACTGTCCCTCAGCTCTTCAAATCAAGGCTAGCCTCTACCACTTGAGCCACAGCACCACTTCTGGTTTTCTGGTGGTTTATTAGAGATAAGAGTCTCATAGACTTTCTTGTCTGGGCTAGCTTTGAACTGTGATCCTCAGATCTCAGCCTCCTGAGTAGCTAGGATTACAGGCGTGCGCCACCGGCACCGGGCTTCTTCACTTGATTTTTATTTGAAGCTGAGGGACCAGTGGCTCACACCTGTAATTTTACTACTCAAGAGGCTGAGATCTGAGGATCACAGTTGGAAGCTAGCCAGGGCAGGAAAGTCCATAACACTCCAATTAATCAGCAAAACTCCAGAAGTGGAGCTATGTCTCAAGTGGTAGAGCATTAGCCTTAAGCAAAAAAGGTCTGGGACAGTGCCCAGCCCCTGAGTTCAAGCCCCAGGAATAGAACAAAAACAAACAAAAGACAATCACCCCCATTTGCCATGTTGGGAATTGAATGTAGGGCTTTGTACATGGTAGGCAAGCTCTTTGCCAGTGAGCTATGTCCCCAGCCCTGGTGTTGTCTACTCCCTGCTGCCCCCTTTAGAATTTGTTTATTCTCCAAATTCTGGATCAGGCAAAGAGGACAGAATCTATGATGCTACATTCACCAGCCCTTGAGTTTTAAAGTAGCATTTTCCTGTGTAGTCCAGGCTGGCCTTGAACTCATGATTCTCTTCCCTCTTTTCACACATGCAGGGATTATAAGGTGTGCACTACTGCACCTGGGTAAAAATTTCTTTTTCATACAAAGAATTGTACTAATGATTCTCTTTTATTTAATATTGGCTGCATCTCTACAAGTAGAGCTAATTTTCTTTTTCATTTGTTCCTAGGTACACCCTCAGCAGAATTTTTAGACTTTCCAGTTACAGCCATGGACCACCCCTTTCTAAAAGCATTTCAAGCACCATCTTATTTGTCTCCAGAAGCACTAACAAATGGTAAAGAAATAAGAATGAGAAATAGGTTTGGATGTAGTAAGAACATATAACTTTGATGTGTCTTATTAGGCTTCTCTCATTTTCTATTACTTCAAGTTAACTGTCATTTGATTTTCTTTTATATTGATACTGCTAAAAGGGAAGCAATTTCATTTTGATTTGAGAAAAAGCTAATGCTGGGCTAGGAATATGGCTTAGTGGTATAGTGCTTGCCTAGAATGCTCTGGGTTCTATTCCTCAGTACCACATAAATAGAAAAAGCCAGAAGTGGCACTGTGGCTCAAGTGGTAGAGTACTAGCCTTGAGCAAAAGAAGCTCAGGGATAGTGCCCAGGCCCTGAGTTCAAACCCCAGGATTGGTACCAAAAAGAGAGAGAGAGAGAGAGAGAGAGAACACTAATGCTGAAAATTAAGAGGATTCTGATAATTTTGTAATATCAAGTTTTAAATCCTGCCTTGGCTCATGTTGTTCTGGTATTTGAATAAGAGGGCCTTTTTGTGGACTAATTGCCCAGATCCTTTGGGTTATCCCAATGATAGCTACATAATCCAGTAAAACCATAGGTTGGAGCATTTTATTATCTATAAATTAAAAGCAAATAAAATTCATATTAAGCAGTCATATTCTCATATTCCTTATTTTTTTATTGAAAGGAGAATACACAGAAGATAGAAATTAAAAGTTTTTTTCCCCCTTATTAGTGTTGGGATTCAACATAGGCCTCATGGTTATTAGGGAAGTTCTCTTTCACTGAGCTACATCCCTAGCCCTGAAATTGGAAATTATATGAGTTAATAGGTACTTAATATTTTATTTATTATTATTACTATTATTATTATTGTCGGTCATGGGGCCTGAACTCTGGGCCTGGGCGCTGTCCCTCAGCTCTTCAGCTCATGGCTAGTGCTCTACCACTTGACCCATAGCACCACTTCCGGCTTTTTCTGCTTATGTGGTGCTGAGGAATCGAACCCAGGGCCTCCTGCATGCAAGGCAAGCAGTCAACCACTGAGCTACCTTCCCAGCCCCTATTATTATTTTTGTGCTGGTTCTTGGGCTTGAACTTAGGACCTCGGTGCTGTCCATGAGCTTTTTTGCTCAAGGCTAATGCTCTACCACTTGAGCCACAGCTCGTTTCTAGGCTTTTGGTGTTTAATTGGAGATAAGCGGCTTATTTATTTATTTGTTGGTTATGGGGCTTAAACTCAGGGCCTGGGCACTGTCCCTGAGGTTTTTTTTTTTCCCCCTCAAAGCTACTAATCTACCACTTTGAGCCACAATGCCATTTCTGGTTTTCTGGTGATTAGTTGGAGATAAGAGTCTCACAGACTTTCTTGTGATCCTCAGATCTAAGCATCTTAAGTAGCTAGGATTATGAGTGTGAGCCAATATTGCCTGGTTTAAGAGTCTTAAGATTGGGCTGGGAAGTTGGCTCAGTGGTAGAGCTCTTGCCTTGCATGCCTGAGGCCCTGGGTTTGCATTCCTCAGCACCACATAAGCAAAAAAAAAAAAAAAAAAGCCGGAAGTAGTGCTGTGGCTTAAGTGGTAAGGCACTAGCCTTGAGCTGAAGAGCTGAGGGACAGTGCTCAGGCCCAGAGTTCAGGCCCCACAACCAGAAATTAAAAAAAAAAAGAGTCTTACGATTCCTGCTCAGGCTGGCTTTGAACCATGGTCCTTAGATCTCAGCCTCCTGAATAGCTAGGATTACAGGCATGAGCCACTGGTACATGTGTGGCTTATATTTAATATTTTAAAAGGGAATTTCCTTTGACTTATTTGTATTTTCATATACTTAAATTCTTTTTTTTTTTTTGTTGGGTCCGGTCCGGACCTGAACTCTGGGCCTGGGCACTGTCCCTCAGCTCTTCAGCTCAAGGCTAGTGCTCTACCACTTGAGCCACAGCGCCACTTCTGGCTTTTTTCTTTTTGCTTATGTGGTGCCTGAGGAATCGAACCCAGGGCCTCAGGCATGCAAGGCAAGCGTTCTACCACTGAACCACCTTCCCAGCCCATATATAGTCAAATTCTTTAAAAAAGATTTTAAAGCTGTGTTTAATAATTACAATGGAGTAATGACAAAATACAGATTAAAGTAAAAACTGAAACCCTTTCTCCTCAATTGTAGCAACTTTCAAGATTGATATAATTAATTCATTAAATTTCAGGTTTTTTTTAGTGTATTAGCAGCTGTGGCATAGGACAGGTACATTCATTCAATACTGAATATATTCCTAAGTACCACAGAATGTCATACCAACATTTAATTTTCTTTTTTTGTATGCTAGTACTGGGACTTGAACTCAGGGCCTTGGGCTGTTTGGCTTTTTCAATCATGGCTGGTGTTCTACAACTTGAGACATGATTCCACTTGCAGCTTTTTGCTGGTTAACTAGAAATAAGAGTGTCATGGATTATTCTGCTTAGGCTGTCTCTGGACTGCCATATTCAGGTCTCAGTCTCCTGATTCAGGTCTCAGTCTCCTGAATAGCTAGGATCACAGGCATGAGTTATTGGTATCTGGTACCAACACTGAATTTTTTTGTTTCTTTTCTTTTTTGCCAGTCTTAGAGCCTGAACAAAGACCTTGGGCACTGTCTCTGAAAGTTTTTGTTCAATAGTAGTATGCCACTACTTTAAGCTATAGTTCTACCTCTGGCTTTTTTGGGGGGGTTAATTGGAGATAAGAGATTCATAGTTTTCGGCATCAGCACAGGCAGGCTTTGAGTCACGATCCTCAGCCTCCTGAGTAGGTAGGATTACAGGCATGAGCCACCAATGCCTGACTTTAAATTTGACTTTTTTTTTTTTTTTTTTTTTGGTTGGTAGTACGGCCTGAGCTCTGGGCCTGGGTGCTGGCCCTCAGCTCTCCAGCTCAAGGCTTGCACTCTACCACTTGAGCCACAGTACCACTTCCAGCTTTTTCTGCTTATATGGTGCTGAGGAATCGAACCCAGGGCCTCATGCATGCAAGGCAAGCGCTCTACCACTAAGCCACCTTCCTAGCCCCACAATATTGACTTTTAAAGAGAGTCAACTTCCCACAATGCTTCAGTGGTCAAGGTCCACAAGAGTTCCTTTTTTAAAAAAAATAAATAAAAGCAAATCCATCAAATGGTTCTTGTTTGATGTAGTCACCTCTAATCAAAGTTGCCTTACAGTTCAACCCCATGAAGGTGACTCTGCAGGAGGCACACCTCAAATGGTCCACACTGGCTTAGGGATAGACACAGTTTCCAGGTATGGGTTTTCCTCACCTGTTCTAAGCAATATTTCTTTCTTTTTTTGGGGGGGTCTGGTCGTGGGGCCTGAACTCTGGGCCTGGGTGCTGTCCCTCAGCTCTTCAGCTCAAGGCTAGCACTCTACCACTTGAGCCACAGCCCCACTTCCGACTTTTTTTTTCTTTTTGCTTATGTGGTGCTGAGGAATCAAACCCAGGGCCTCATGCATTTAAGGCAAGCACTCTGCCACTAAGCCACCTTCCCAGCCCCTAAGCAATATTTCTTAACAAGATTTTTGTTTTAAAGACAGTCAACAGTATGGTTGTACTTTGTGGGCTAAGGGTGAGTTTGAAATTTTTTTTGAAATTTAAAAATCTTACAACAGATATTCAGACTGCTGTCCTGCTTTGGAAATGAAAGAATCCAAGGAAGACATTCACCTGTACCAATGATATTTTCTTTTTTTTTTTTTTTTTGTCTGTCATGGGGCTTGAACTCTGGGCTTGGGTGCTGTTCCTCAGCTCTTCAGCTCAAGGAGAACGCTCTACTGCTTGAGCTACAACGCCACTTCTGGTTTTCTAGTGGTTTATTGGAGATAAGAGTCTCATGGACTTTCCTGCCCGGGCTGGCTTTGAACCATGATCCTCAGATCTCAGCCTCCTGAATAGCTAGGATTACAGGCATGAGCCACCTGTGCCCGCAATAATTTCTTTTAACCTATGTAGAAAACTAAATTTTCCTTATTAACGCGAGTTTAAACTTCTGCTAGCACATAAACTAGTACTCAATTAATTTTATGAAATAAATACTATGAAAGCTAGCTAAAATTATTTTAGATGAAATTTCAAAGCAAATAGTATTACTACTCTGGTTAGCTATACAAAGTCATATGTAGTAAAGTCTCAGTAACATATACTGCTACGCATTATCTCTTAAAGTATAACATGGATTTCTAGTTAGAAAATGTAATAAGTACTAGGAAAAAATGAAATACACTCTTATCTAGAGGTGTGTGGTATAATTTAATACAAGCCAGTTTACTTGGAGAATATTTACCACTGAATTTGCCCTTTCTTTCAAGCAAGATAGATATGATATAAGGCCATTTGGGCCATTTCTTTGTTGTTGTTGTTGTTGTTGGTCATGTGGCTTGAATTCAGGGCCTGGGTGTTGTTCCTGAGCTTTTCTGCTGAAGCCTAGCACTCTACCACTTTAAGCCACAGTTTCACTTCTGGTTTTCTGGTGGTTTATTGGAGATAAGACTCTCCCAGATTTTTCTGCTTGGGCTGGCTTTGAACCATTATCTTCAGAGCTCAGCCTCCTGAGTAGCTAGGATTACAGGTAAGAGCCACCAAGGTTGGCAATTTAGGCCATTTCTGGTTAGAATAAAACATTTTCACCTGGCAGGGGAATCTTTTCTTTGTGTGTGTTTAATTTGGGGTGAATATGTAATGATATAAATGTATGAATTGGATTTTTTTCCATGTTAATAGGTAGAAGTAGTCAGATTTCTTCTTTAAGGAGACCTGGGGAGGATGATATGGCTTTCTTTGAAAGACGATACCAGGAAAGGGTAAGTTTTTGAGAAATCTACTTTCATTAAGCATTTATTTGAATCATAGACACAGTGGCAAGATTTTATATATATATATATATATATATATATATA